TGTACCAATAGCGACCATTATATTTAAGATTTGTAGCGTTTATTTTGGATATTAACTTTATCAGCTTGAATGTTATCTGTATTTTATTGAATTTGAAATAAAATAAAAAAGAAAAAGGGGGCAAGCCCACTGTCCCGCCCTGTTACCATCACTAACTGACAGCAATTATCATAATCTAGAGATACATCACTTTGCATACAGGGCAATAAAATAGAGGCGTGCAGCACTTTTGTCCTTGCATTCTGGTAACATAGAATGTTGAATGCAAAAGTATCATCCTATTTTCGGACACGACATCTCTGTTATGTACATGGGCGGAGCCATGTGAGGACGAGTGCAGGCATATATTTTTAGGCCCAAAACAATTTTTTACTTTTTTTTTAAGCAATGTCCCATGATTTTGCTTGATTTTAGGTATAGGTTGATTTGGACTTCACTTGTCAAAATATGAAAACTTGCAAGGAACACGTTTAATTATAAACTATGTCTTTTTATTATTATTTTTTTTATCATTAAATTTATGATCAAAATTCAATGTTCGACATGTGTTAAATTATGCTTGCACTGAACAAATTTCCTGGCTCCGCCCCTTATATATATGTACCACATAGGACACGTACAAAAAATAAAAATTGGGAATGAGAGAGATGTCAGATACTTGCCTAAAGACACAGACAAGAAGTTATATGTATATATGATGGAATTTCTAGTATCTTCAAATATGCTTTGTAAATCTTTGAACAAGGTCAAGGTGTTGTAGGCTAAAATTACATAATTGACGAAGAAAAACCTACCATTTGCCTTTCTAGTTTTTGAACAAAAGCACAATGAGTTTTGTTGTTAGGATTGCGTTCTGGTTCAGCATCTTGCTTTTGTTGATCTTCAAAAGCAAGCTTTAAGGATGGAGGCAAAATTGCGGAAGAAGAACGAGGAAAACTCTGCTTTGAAGATGCAACTTCAGAAAATGGAGAATAAATGGCGAGATATTAAAATCTTGTTCGCTGTTTTGTCAAGTACTCGGTACCAAACATATTCATGTAGTTCATTTAAGGATGGTGAAAAAAATTGAATTTAGGTGTTTTCAGTATTTTAGTTCCAGTAATTTGATTGGTTTGATGAAGACATGTCTAGCCGCAGCAAAGAAAAATCCCACAGACGAAAGTATTATTGGGATATTTGGACAATGTTATGCTACTTCAGGACATCAAAATCAGAATGCTGATAATACAACCACAAGAACTGGTTTTTTTCATGGAAATAGTATGGTGGGCTCATTGGATTTGCCCAGTAGCAATGGATCAGGGCCGCATATCACAACTAATTCGACCAATCACATAATCAAACAATTTGAAGGCATGTACGATGAGGATGGTGATCAGGCTCAAGTTGCATCAGATCAGGTAAAGTTGCATCCTGGTGTTGAGCTTCAGAAACTTAAGCTTAGGTTCACAACATGGAAAAAGTACTTCAAAACTCGGTTATGGGAAGCAGAAGCAACATTCAAGAAGCTTAGCCATCTTGAAACAGAAAAAGGCCAAAAGAGATGGTGGGAAAGAAGACAAATGAGAAGGGGGATTAGGAACTGAGACTTTGATGTTAGTTATTTACTTTTTGCAATGCAGATTTTATTGTGATACAAATTATTTGCACTTAAGTAATGGTTTGTCCGGAAGGTGAATTGTACAATCGGACTATTGTTAGATCATGGGGTCAAGAATTGAAAATATGATAGCAATACGTGGATTTGGAATTCCATCCTTCACTCTCATACATATTTTCAAAAGAGTCTTACATAATCGTTAGGATAATGTGGAAATAAACAAATAAATCATTATTGTTACATTCACATTCGAGTTTGATCAGGACACAGTGAAATTCAATTTAAAGTTTATTTCTTATGGGACGATACCCATTTTCACTAAAATATTACTTATCAACAACCTCGTATGCTTATTTCATTGAATATCAAAATTTTTACATTTATTGGTGTTATAATAATATTACTTTAATTTTCTAAACCCAATATAATATAAATGTCAGGAGTATAAAAAATAAATAAAGCGAAGACATGTTACTATACTAAATCAAGGAACATAAAATGTTTAATGATTTTTTATTTGGCTTTATTGAATTATTCTAAAAGATATATTTTTCTATTTATTTTGATATATTTAATTATTTGTGTGGATGACAATGGGGAGGGTCACCTAGACCATGATTCCAAACCATTGTCACGTCATCAGAGCCACCCATTGTCGTCTCTAATTACTTGTTAAAAAAATATGCTGGAATACTTTATGAAATTATTGTTACACGTGTTTTTTATATTTCTCTATGAAATAATATTTAAATTAATCAATTTAAATGGATATTCATTGCACGCCCACGCCCTTCCAGATGGATTCAATTTGTTTCCCTCCATAATATGAGGACCCATTAAAGAGTCTTTCTATCTTCATTCAAATTTATTTAAAAAAATAAAATTGAGCTCCTTTCACATAACTTTCGTTTTTCTTTTATTTATTTGTTTTATCACATCAATAGTCTTTGAACTGTAAGTCTGTAACAATTAGGCCATGTTTGATTGACCATTATTTTCCATAAAAAATGGAATTCAAATTCAAATTTTCATTTTTTGACTGTTTGATAGTATATTTTTTTTATGGAATTAGTTTTCTTAAAAAGTGGACATTTTCTTGGTTTTCTAGGCTGATCTGTCAATTTTTTATTTTTGGCAATGGAAATAAATTCTATCCCTAATTATAAAAAAAAATATTTTCCTTTAATTAACAATTTCCATATAAAATAAAGTCAAACGAACACCGAAAGATAGATAGTTTTCCTGACTTTTTTTTTGGACAATAGAAACATTATATCCCCAATACAATAAATTATATCCCTTTAATTAACAATTTTCATATAAAACAAAGTCAAACGAATATCAAAAATACTTTTATTTCAACATTTTTCATATAAAAAAATTATACCAATCAAATACAATAATTGACAATTTTCAGTAAAACAATTTTTAGACAATTCAATTCCCTGAAATTTGTTTTTTCATCCAAATTCTATCTTTACAATCAAACAGACCCTTAGTTCTTTCTTATACTCAACTTATTCCAAATACATACTCGGCCAAATTAATTCCCAATCTGAATTTATTATCAGATTTAAAACCTTCTTAGTAATTCCATACTTTTCCTTAAAATTTTTGGTTCTTGTGTTATTAATGGAATTAAATATAAAATTTAAAGAGTATTTATTAAATTAAAATTAACTTAATCATTAAGATTTCAAGCAAATTTGAATAATTACAAGCAATTAACTTCTATTAGGAAAAACATACAAATTTATAATTTTTATTTTTCTTGCTTAAGTTTATAGCATTATGTCTTGGTCCATATAAATACCCGAGTTCAAGTAAGACTTGCTCAAAAAGACTAGTTAAACATGCATGACTAACCAACGAACATTTCGTTTCATCTCACCAATGGTCAAACTTCTTCTATAGCGATTATAAATTTGATAGACGGTGTTGATGTGTTATTTGTTCTCAAACTTAACATTGACAAGGATTCTAATTCAAAGTATCGAAAATGTAAAATTTTGAAAAATATATAAATACGTTAATATTCAATTTTAATCATCACGCGAAAGAGTGACAATGGATCAAGTGAGTTGGCTCAATTTTTAGACACTCAAGCTCAATTCATATCCACAAACTAGGCTCTATATTTAGACACTCGAGCTCAATTTATATCCACAAATTTAAGTCACTGTTTGGTTTTGTTGAAAATCAAAAAAAAAATTTTGGTTGTAAATTTAGATAAAAATTGATGAAATGTATTTTTAAAAAGTGGATAACAATCTCATAAAATAGGTCGAAATTAATTGTTGAGTTTACATAAAATTTGAATTTCGCTAGTTGTACAATCGGGGTGGACAACCTCTTCACAGGAGAGGATTTACAATTTTTTTATTCATTGTGGATCCCCTTTTATATGTGTGATTGTCAACTTCAATTGTATATGTAGTATGACCGTTAAAATTTTTATCAACTTTTTTAGTTAAATAAAACATAGGATCATGAAAAAAGTCCAAAAAATGAGTCCGCCCATGAATCCAAAACCAGCCAGCTGTGAAAAATGTGTGTGATTCGATCAATGGCTCATCACAAAACGAGTTCGACCGAGGCAAGCCCACTAGCAGTTCCACCTGTAATCACGCCTGTGGGCCAAACGATGGTGGGTCCACGCCGACCTGTGAACTCCATTCCCATTGGCTGGCATTCCACAGAATGACCAAGTAAAACATGTATAAACTGTAAACAGCCATCAACACGGTTCAGCCGCCGATTTAGAATCCATAGCTTTCTCCATTTCTCCACACCGAATCTGGACCATTAGATCCATAAAACTTACACATGTCAGCATCCCTATTCAATTGTCATTTCTAAAACTACGCGTCAAGTGTAAATAGCACATCACCAAAGACGTGTTTTAGATAAAGAAGACCGACCACTGTCAGCCACGTCATCAGAACCACCCAACTTGCTTCCCTAACCATTCATAACGGCTAGTTTTTGGGTATTCTATATTTTCCATTTTTAAATAGGAAAATTCAAGTCATTTCTAGAAAATCTCAAATATTTTTTGAAGCAGACTTTTTTAGCCTTTGATGATACTCGCTTGTTAAAAAACCCAAAAAGGAAAAATAATTTTGAAAAAACCATTTTTAAATGAGAAAACTTGACTGTATATAAAAGAGAGTGATATATAGTAAAGCGTAAAGATAGAAGATATTTGGAAGTCGGTTCTTGTTTCCTTTTACGCTACAACCGTTACATCAATCTCCATTTACTCTCTGCCTCAAATTAGGGCTTCTCACTATTTTGAAACGTTGTACACTAATATATATCATTGTATACTTCTGCTAGGAAAGGATTTATAGGAAGTGAAATAGATTTTTTGACTGTTTTTGAATAGTTGGAATCTATTATTTGAACATTTCAATTTGGGTTTTGGTTTTTTTTGGATAATCTGATTGTGCTTGTAAAGAGAGAAAGAATAGCAACAAAAAATGGTGTTGGGGAAGAAATGTGAGTCAATTGTGAATAGAGCAAATGAAGGGTATGGGGTGGGACTGGTGAGGAGTACATCGTTTGGGAGGAAAAGGGTTGCTTTGTCTAATATTAATTTGGAGTTTGATGGTCATAATGTTTATAATCTCACCACACTGACAAAGAGACAGTGCTATGAAAATTCAATTCTCTGTTCAGACAAGTATGTTCTTGAAGCCCTGCCTCAGGACGTTCTGGTTAGCACCCTTTTTCTGAGTCAACTCTTTCAGTATTGTAGAGAAAATTATGCTTAAATGGGTAATTTTAAGTATATATAACTGTTTATGGTTGATTAGTAAAAGTGTTATGGTTACAAAATTAGAATGTCTCGTTAAATTGTGTTCCTAAAATGGTGAGAATTTTTTTATGCAGATTAGGATATTGTGTGGTGTCGAGCATGATGATTTGAAGAGGTTGGTTTTAGTATCAAAATCAATAAGAGATGCAGTAAGATTTTATGGCCCTAAAGATTTTTATTTTAATTAATTTTTTTTCTCCTGGGGATTTACTTGAGTTTGAATATTAATTTGGGATTTTTGTTTGAATAAACAAACTCTGAACCTTGCGTATAGTACTCCAAGGAAGACCGTTGGGTTCCAGAACGTGGAGGACATGCGTGAGTTCAATGACATTAAGGATCCTAATGCTCCAAAGCAGTCTAGGGTTCCAAGGTGTCGATTGAGTTCAAAGAAACTAGCTGCCATCTCAGTGGCCTTGTTCGCTTCTGGTAGCGAAGACAATTAGCCACGAAAAGAATTAATGGCAATGGAAACAGAGAGATGAAATTGAGGGTTATGTATAGTATAGGCATGCAATGTTATAGTTGTTGCAGAAATAGTACATCACCCCTCTGTTTTGATAAAGATCTTCTGATTTATTTGAATGAATCTAATAACATATTCCTCTATAGCTTGGAAGTTCAAATGTCTTAATTTTGATATTGGACTATTCTTCGTGTTGATGCTGCACTAAATTATCACTATCAGAATGTTTTCTTTGATTTGGGATGTAAAAAGACTAAAAGAAAGTGAATTAGACGCCATTAAACATTATATTAACAAAGAAAAGAAGGTGGACTTTGCATTTTACTGTCCGCTAGAGTCTCGGATTACATACCCAAAATGCACTCAGAGTAGAATCTTACTGCGTTCTCTAGTGTTGCCAATGCAGCCATAATTCAAGCAGCAAGAATGTTGGCAGTGAGAGTCCCAAAAGGAATCCATTTTAATGATCCACCACGTCCATTAAAACGAGCTAAGAATCACCTGATCCAGATGCCAAGAAGTCCGACTATACAATCCAAGGATAGCTGAGCTTCCGTACTGTAATTGTCGAACTCGTGCTTTGCTAAAATCCCAAGCACGCTCAATAATACGCCAAAAAAATACCTATAAAAATTCCAAGAAAAGTGAACGCCCAACGTCCTTCACGACTTAGGTCTAGCATTTTCTGATTCCAGCCACTAAATGTTGTAAGATTTCCCAAGAAATCAGTCGACAATCCGATACCAACTCGTCTGAAACTTTGATCATATCATCTTTGAAAACAACACCAAACCAATCCATTGAGAATGAACTAACTTGAAACAACGCACATAATTTGCAAGATTATCTAAGAGAACCCAAAAATGTATAGAGAACCCAGCCACGTTAGAGAACCCAAAAAAGCTATCTACTTTTTACATATCAATTCAAGCATCTTCTTTATCCCTTGCCTTTCCTCTTCATCCACACCTCCACATTTATACATATATATGATTGAACATTCGACAGAAAAGGACGGAAAGGACATGTATGTACACAAAATTAAACAAAGGAGGAGCAAAACTACTTGCTTAGTGAATGGCGAAACTTGGTTTTGTTACAAGTTTTTTGTCTGCCACAACTAACAACTGCCATTTCCATTCCCTCCATCTTTAAAGCAAGAAAGCACGACATGACGTGTTCGATGTTAATATTTCCCCATAAAGGATTGAGGAAAAAAATCACTCAAACTTGTATTATTGACTTCTTTAACATGATATGTGTATGACGAAAAAAAGTTAAAAACGTGTTGAGTCCCTTGAGTTCTTACATCATTCGTATCTTAAGTTAATTTGTTCATCTAATCAGACCGTGTTGAATATGACCCATGAGAACAAATATGTAAATTTAAAGAAAGTGTAGGGTGGGTTTTCTTTGCACATAGTTTTTCTTCACAAGGGTGAGATTGAAATAAAAATATTCAAGAATTGCATGATTGACATCTTTATTGGTATGGTGGGACTTATGAATTAGGAATTTAGAAAGTGTAAGGTGGAAATTGAATCACCATTGTGAATTTAGGTCACTTGTTTTGTGAGTGTTTGAAAATTTTATGTTATGGCATTTAACATGTTGTGGATGATTGGAGTAGTTGCGCGTATTGACTTAGTTAAAAGACTTTGCTAAATGATGTTTTGAAGAGAAGTGTGTGGTTGCACATTTACATTCGACTTTAATATTTTTCAATTGCAATAAATTTGATGGTTTCTTTTATTGTTTGAGTTGATACTATGTTTAATTAATTTCATGTGAACTGTAGGATTTTTACGTTGTAATTTGTGTCACAATCTAATAAATACATACAATATCCAAAGCAAGAACTAAAAAATCAATAAGTGATATCAGCGTCAATTCGAAGATTTGAGGTTTTTCTATTTTGTAAGCAAAATATGAAATTGAAAAACTTATTGAGAACTTTTGAAGAAGGATGATTCAAATTCATTGTAAGAGATTTGATATTGGACGACTTATTATTATTTTTTTTATGTTCCGTACTTTAAAATTGTGCTAATTTGTGAGATAATTTCAAACTATTTAAACACAAACTCGAGCATTATTATAGTATCGCAAATTTCTTCTTATGTTATTTGTTCTATATACGTTCATTACTTGAAATGTAAATCTTGGATCTTTTTCCCAACAAGATATATTCACCTAAGGATGGAAAACAAATTTTCGTAATAACAATTCGAAAGAATTTTAGAGGTACCATTGCCAGTGAGATATTGATCTTTGTACAGTGTTTCATTCAAATTGGATGCATCCTTCTTCCCTCCACAAACATAACATTATATGATTCGCTGAACCTTCCATCCCAGCCACGTTAGAGAACCCAAAAAAGCTATCTACTTTTTACATATCAATTCAAGCATCTTCTTTATCCCTTGCCTTTCCTCTTCATCAACACCTCTACATTTATACATATATATGATTGAACATTCGAAAGAAAAGGACGGAAAGGACATGTATGTACACAAAATTAAAAGACGGAGGAGCAAAACTACGTGCTTAGTGAATGGCGAAACTTGGTTTTGTTACAAGTTTTTTTATTTTTCGTTTGAGGAAGTGTGAATTTTGTACATGTGGGTACCTAAATTAGTTAATTAATGGCACATGTTGTACGTTATTATGTGAGTTAGTGTATATCTTGTTGATAGTTTTGTTGGCAAATGATAGACAATCTCTTTAATTGAAGAATAATGATGCTTGAACATGTTCAGAGATAGGCCAAAATTGGACAGACGGACTTAATTGAGAGATAGGCCAAAAATGGACAGACGGACTTAATTGGCAGCACTTGTTTGGATGTTTGTCTTTTTTATTTTTCAAACTGTCCAATCATATGTCGACGTGTGTCCTCCCATTTTTTAACCTGTCCTTGAGCCTGTTTGTATAGCATAATTTTTGTTTAATTAAAAGACAATTGAATTTCAATTATCAAATTAAATTGGAATGTATGACTAAAAGGTGGAAACTTGAAAATTTTCCCACACTTCCTTTTATGAATGGTTATCAATTCTAGCTATTAGATTATAAAGTTTACGTTTCATAAAGACAATAAGCTTCCTTGACTATCCTTATTACTTTAAATCATAATAATAGCCCTGTTTGGACTTCATTTTAATTTTAATTTTAATGTATTTTCTATTTCTTCTTTTTAATTACACATTCTTTAATAAAATAATATTATACATAAATATAAATTTTTTTCTTCTTTTCAACCACATATTCTTCAAAAAGTCGCTAGTTCAAAATATATTTTCCCTGAAACCTCATTAAAATGGATGCGAAACAATGGCTTATATTATATATGAATTTATAAATTTTACAGTAGGGAGACTTGCTTTTCTTGATGCCTTCATCATCCCCACGCCCACGCCAACGAAACCCAGCCTAAAACTTATTAAAGTAGTCTCTTCTTGAAAAAATTATGTATCTCATACATGCAAGGTGGCGTTGTGTTAGTGCAGGGATAATGAAATTATGTAATTTCAATTTAATCCCAACTCGGCTTCGATGAATTTCCTGCTCATATATATCTCCCACAATTGAGTGCCTTTTCACCTTCAGAAATTCATCAATGAAGGAGAAGCAAAAACAAAGAGAATCCAATTTCTTTACCTTTCTTCAAGAAACACTCTCCTTTCTTAGCTCAAACACTATATTCTCCACCATCTTCACTTTCTACACTCTGATTCTACTGTACTTCCCAGCTTTTTTTCATAGACTCATTTTCTCCCCTGTCCTGATTTCCACCTCAATTATCTTACTCTATCTTCTCCGTCTCGGTGCAAGTCAAAAAACCAAGAAGGAAACTGGATCCCATTCCCCGAAATTCGATTCCACCCAGAATTATTGCCGCAGAATGAAGAATTTTCTCTTCATGATCTCAACTTGGTTTCGTGTGAATCCCACAGCGATCCGAAGCAGAATTTGAATCCGGGTCCCAATTTTTTGGCCGAGTGTTTCGTGGAATGGGATGTGAGGGCACCATTGGAGGTTATACATGAAGAATACGAAGGTGAAGAAGCAGGAAATGAGGGGTTTTGGGAGGAAAAGAGAGAGGCACAGATGGCTGTAATTGAAAAATACGCATCTTTGTCACTGTATTACCCGGAATCCAACACAGACACTTCGTCAGAGGGAGATTTCCTGACGATCGAAGACTGGGAGTCATCTGAGAACTTATGCTTCCAGTGGGAAGAGGATGATTAAGAAGGGTTGATAGAGATTGAACTGAACAGGAAGAGTAATAATAGTGAAGTCAATGAAGAGAATTTGAGTGAGATTGATCTTTTCCCGTCGAGATGATGTGTACTTTTCCGGCGTTTATTCCGATGAAGCTTCGATACAATTAACCTTTATAATTAACTAAAAGTGGAAAGGTTATGGGTTTTAGTAGATAGAGGGTTTACCATTGTATTAAATCAAATATCAATGACAAAGTCCAATTACTCTCTTAATCCAAATATTACTAATGATGAAGTCTTGTAATGACTGATTCGTCCTCGATTTTCGAAAATCCCCCCCCCCTTCCTTCATTATCACTCTAATATGCAACAGGACAAAACTCGACAGAATTAATTATATTCAATATTGCAAATCAAATATGCTCAAATTTATCTAGTTATGCGAAATCAAAGAATAATGTGATACATGAACAACTTTTTGTGAAAGAAAGCATTTTGTACATCACTTGTGGACTCAAGAGATAATTGGTCCTGCAAAAATGTGATACTTATTACATTGCACCTAAAAGGTTATGAAAGTTTGAATGAAAGGGATCTGACATGCAAAAGTTACTTTAGATTTCTTCATTATTCAGCAAGTTGAATAATTGATGACATAATTATCATGCAATTCGATCCAATGATGAAAAATAAATATATAATTCCGATAGTAGATTATACAAGGTGTTAGAAAAGCAAATTTAAAATAAATCTCACTCCTCTATTAACGTTAAACACAAGTTTGATTGTTCACAACTATGTACTCGCTTGAGAGAAATTATATTAAATAGGTGTTTGGTACCCATTTTTAAGAGAATGAATTTTAGAATACTAAATTAATGGAGAATGTGTGGATGAAAAATAAGATTTTTTTTTTTATTTACGTGTAATATTATTTTA